TATTTCAGGTGGTCGAATAATTGTAACATTGCAGTGAGATAGCGGTACACAGGCCGCATGGTCCTCTTGGAGTCGGCCTGATCCCAACTCTAACAGCCATCTGGCGAAACTTGCATTCGTCCGATCTTGATTCGCGGATAACGCACCAAGTCGTATGTTGACTGACAAAGCAAACCGATGGATTGATTGCCATAGGTAGGACGATTTCAGTGTAGCTTCAGCTTGTTGCATCAAGTTGGATCGTCTAACAATTGGTAAGGTTTGGCGGAAGTCCCCAGCGAATAGAACTACCTTGCCTCCGAATGGTAAGTCGACTCCGGTGAAGTCACGAATCGTTCGGTCAACGGCTTCTATTGCATGCTTATGCTGCATAGAAACTTCGTCCCACACAATGAATTGGACAACATCTAAATTACGACTGAGGGAGTCATGGCCTGATATATCGCAGATCGAGTCGTCGTACACTGGTATTGGTATCTTAAATGCACTATGGGCAGTGCGTCCATGCAACAGTAGTAATGAAGCGATGCCAGCTGCTGATACGGCTTCGAATGGGATTGCATTAGCATTGCAATAATGAAGTATACAGTTTAAAACAAATGTTTTTCCTGTTCCTCCTGGACCGTCCAGAAATCCCAAGTAGGGCATTTTGTTTCGAATAGCTTCGCATATTGGTATAATCACGGCCTGTTGTTCGTTTGTCATTAACCTTAACATTGATGCATGTTTGCGCCTGCTTTCATCGGGATCAACCATGCGGCTGAGTCTTCTCCCAGTATCGTTTGGGAGATCTAAATCTAACAAGAGATCTTCGTCGACAGGACGCAACCCGACATTTTCTAGTGATCAAAGCTTCCATACCGATGATGACTTTTTCTAACAGGAACAAACCATAATTTTGAATATGCCTTTCAGTTGGACGGGCCAAGGGATTCAGTCGCCGTATCTCTCTCTCGCAGTCATCTGTCAAATCAGTAACGTGATCGTCCCATAAGTTAACGGGCGCGGCTGGTGGGCTATGTACTAAAATGATCGCCAGCATGCTGCGGAGTTGGTGTCCGGTTTTCCAGACAGCAGCTTCGGTTAACGAATTATGATAGTGTTGATCGCCTAACAGCAGTCCTAGACGGTCTGCCGCTTCACGGAAGGTATTGAAACAAATCCCATCAATTGTCCGAAGATCTTCAAACGAAGTGGGTCCTGGTACATGGGATAACAACAATCTCAAATAATACACGTCGCCGCGTTTAACATTGGCAAAGTATATCCTGCCAATGGAAACTACACTATTCCGTCGTGGTTTTAATCTCTTCGATTTTTGGTCCCATGTAAAAAACTTAGTGACATCTTTGTATTTCAAACTACGAATGGATAAGTTGGAGCCAGGTAATGGTGTGTCTGCCGCACAGAGTCTAAAAAATTCAGTCAGGGTTGTGCGTTCTGCGCGCCCGGTTTCGATAGCTCGACGTAATCCGGCGTCGTCAACAAAATATATCGTTTGGCTCCCGTTCAAGTGCAGACTAAGTCTTTGGACAGCGGGGTGTCTGCCAGATAGTTCGAATTTAAGAAGCCGCCAGACAGCTTTGCCAAATAAATCACGAAATATTGGTATCAAACTGGGGGATTTATAGAGCATACACAACGAAAAACACACCTTCAATTGCTGATAGGAACCGTGCATTCACATATGTCAATATTTCATCTTCTTGTTCGGGATCGTCGACTGTTGCCATGGTACGGTCGTGACCTTTGAGTATATATTTGAAAAGATACTTTACCGCACGAATGCTTGCTGCAACTTCTACATTGATATGGCAGCCATATTTAAAAGTTAGAAATCGATTGTATGGGACTACATGTCCATTAGTGTAGCGCGTGTGGTCCTTTTCGAAATACCGGCCATTGTCAGGTCGTTTGTAAGTAGGATACGAGTTGTCGGACATCTCTGTAGCGTCGCATAGCGGGCGAGGATATCCTAATCTACACTCTGTTCCAGTCCAACATTTGTACTGTTCGCAAGGTCCATGCAACATAAATTTCGTTACTAACTCAAAAAGCTGTGGTTCAGTTCGTTGGTCGGGTAATTGAGCAGAGATTAAGCAGTCAATTTGCTCTGCTGTGGCCGGTTTGGAATCCGCGTCGAGGAATAAAATTAAATGCGCGTGTGGCAGACCTCTTTTTTGAAACTCTATTGTGTATACGTAGGCAGAGCATTTCCCCAATCTGTCACGCTTTGTTATGTCATCTAGCAGACAGTGAAACTTAGCATGAAAGACCCTGCCAACTAAATCCGGTCGGTCTTCCGGGATTTGTCCTAGCTTGAGAGATTCCAAAACTTCATCCCACTGAGGATTAGCAGTCATAGTGATAAATAAACTCGGGTTTCCAAATTCGGCGACCAACGTCATAGCATCTTGATACAATTGTTGCATGTGGCGAGGGCTACCGATGAAAGTTGACGGCAGAACAATCCTATGACCTACAACTTCGTCGTCTAGCTTGTTACCCAGGGCTTCGACGGCGCCATTGTAAAGTTCGGCACGAAGCTCGGTTTGATGAAACCGCAAGTATTGCAAACGTGCATGCTCGACACACACGTACATGTCAACTGCGAACTCCTGGAAAAGACGCCCAGCAGCTAAAATAACCGAAAAAGCGTTGCGTTTGAACAGAAGGTAGGCAAACCATTCGAGGTTTGTGACTTCGCCTTGTGGCCCTGCAAGTTTCAAACATATGAATTGGTATGAATTTTCAATATCCTACAGATTGACTTGAGAAATGTAAACTTACTCTCGGCGTTTGGGCTTGAAAAATTTTTGTGCCATGTCTGCGACCCATAAGGGAATAACAATGGATATCGCAATGCGAAGTATGCTGTATGCAATTCAGATATACGCTGCAAGTCGCCAGATTGGCGTTGAAGTATGATGTCACGCTTATGCGCGCCAACCTGTCCATCGCCTTCAACTATTGCAGCGACTTCGTTAGCGGTTGGACGGTTGTAGCGTCGGTGATCAGTCCCAGCAGTTGTAATTGTGTTGATCCTTAGAGAATGCACATTCCCTTGATTACATAGTGCAGCGGCAGAACGAAAAACCTGAGTATACGGATTGTAGGCGTCCATGAATTGTTGAAATAATTCGATGATTTGCGGATTCAAACTATTGTTAAAATATGAATTTCGTAGATTTGCTTCTGCTTCATCCCCACCACCGTAAACAAATATTTGTGCAAAGCCCGGTTGGTTGTCGGGCATAGGCATCAGCGAACCTATGTTATGCGAAAGTTGGCCTGAAATCTTGAAGATATATACACCCCGTTGGCCTTGAACCGACCTGTCGATATTGGCTCCTAACGACGTGAATGACATCGCGTTGTTGTACTTTCTTATTTGTGATCTGAACCTTACGGAGACTAAACAAACTATCAGTCTTGAACTTTTGACTCCATTGATCGGTAAAGTACAGTACCTTCGTCTTGTTCAGTAAGTAGAGCATGATAAAAGGGAGGTACCTGCTGGCCAACGTCTTCAGCAAAGTAACGCAACGGAAGTTCGACAGCTCCGTGTTGACAGCAGTTCCCATACGTTGCGCGCGGTGACGTTGAATCCTTGACTCTTCGCTTGATTTTCCACCGAAATGTGCCACAACCAGAACATTCATCTTCCTGGGTTCCAATGTTATGAGGTATCTCGTCTGCAAAACGTGTCTTCAAGTTGACTTCGTGTCCCAATGCTTCAGTCCGGATGGCAGGGCCTTTCCTAGCTCGGTAGACACGAATTGGGGGCATGGCGCCGAATAAAATCGAAATACCACCAGTCGAGAGTGGGGTAAAAGTTTGCTGCAGTTTGAATGCCTGCTTGAGCCTATGAACCAAAGACCCATCGATCTGCCTAGAATTCGCATTCAGTGAGCTTTCGAATCATTTGCAAATCCTGATACATTGCCTTAAAGAGCAATTCTCGCATAATTGGAAAATTGTGTTGATTGTTAGGTTTCCGGCTCGTCCAATGGGTCTAAGAGATATTTAACAGACTGTTAGTAATAACATTAGGACATGATTCTGATTGGGTCTGTTTTTGGTTATCTCAAACATTTCAATCCGGAATGTCATGGAGATCGGTTCCAAGTCGAATTGGTAGTCTAATGGAAGAACTTTCATATATAAAACCCACAGCGTCAAAGATTCGAAAATGTCAAATCCAGGCATGACCTAACTTCTACCGTGATACAAATTGAATCCCAGCCGTAAATCAAACTTACTGCTGTACGATGGTTTGGAATATGCTCGTGTGGGTTTCCGTAATTTGATGCCTCAAACTTCAAACTAACATAAATTTGTTTGCCGTGCAAAGAAATTCATTGCTGAAGGTGCCTACTATATTCTGATTTGTGCTTTGATAACCCAACACACAGTCATAATTATTTGCATGATGGATTTATGCATATCTTCGCAATTGTAGAGCTTGACACTAACAGATCGCCTGATCTAACACATGGATGTCAATTTTGGAGTAATCAGTATAATTATGTGCATTGGAAATTGCCATTGGTTGTAATTACTAACTCAACAAAGCCATGACGCATCAACATGTTTGGAAGTCACTGTAAATTACCAATTTAGAAACACACAATTAAATAGCAGAGATGAACACATCACATATTGTGCAAAACATAGAAAAAAATTAGTCCTTCAACGTAGCTCTGGACTACTGCACCGGCCGAAAGAAGATTTTTTGAGTTTTGACTGAACATGATGAAATAGTTGGAAGTACCAGTGGGTGCAACATGTGTGATCATATAAAACCGAAAGTAAAGCAAAGAAAACAAAAGAGTTTGGTGCTGTATTGTGGTTTTAAGTCACTGCAACCGTCAGATAAAGGAATTTTTCGGATTTTTGTTTATTGTAATCAAACGTTGGCCAAATCTATACAAATAAAGCCAACAACAATATGATCCTTTTACTGTTTGAACTGTGCAGAATCCAAACGGTTGCTTTTCTTATACAATTGCTTCATCCTCGTCTTCCTCATTCAAAGTCAAGTCGAGAGTCTTACTTTTCTTCGTGGAACGTTTAGGTTGAGCAAGGGCTCTTTTCTTGACCGGCTTTGGGGATGGCTCCAATGCAGCCTTCTCTGGAGAAGCGCTTGATCCAGATGGGAGAGTAGACTTTGAAGAAGAAGCGCGGGAAAAGGAAGAAGGTCCGAAATCAGATGGGGCAAATGGCATGCTGGAGGCAGATTCAGTATCCGTAGGAATAATGGGTGATTTGAATGGTGAAGTTAAGCTTCTGGGCTCAAATCTATATTGAATATGTTAAAATTAGCAACTGGGAAAGTTGGAAGCTTAACAACGAGAACATACTTCATAGGTTTGTTTGCCAAACCAACGGGTTTGTTGGTTTCTTCTTTGACTTTGACTTTTCCGTCTTTCATATTGACATCATATTCTTTGTTGCCGGTAGTTGGGCAGACTTTATTCGCCTGTGGATTAACTGGTTAGACAAACATCTCTTTTACGATGAAAATGCAAGACTCACAACGATTACAAATCTCAAGGTTTCTAAATGAAAGTCTTTGATAAACCCATGAAACTGATACTCACGGCCGACTCTGAGAATTTTAGGTGTGCCGAGGAGATTAGGGGTAGGCGGAATACGGTATTGGACTGTAAATTGCTTGGGGTCTTTGACCTGTTAGGAACAAACGTTAGTTATGGGACCGGTATATGCAGGCGTTACGCTTACAATTGGGTGGAAGTCTGAGTGCAAGACTGTGACAATCGTGGTAGCCTTGTTTTCGTCGGCAGGGTTCTTTTTCAAATTGTTGAGCATGGGTTCGATGACACTTTCAATGCTACACACAATACCAACTCCTGTGGCGCCAACCGTGTCAGCCAAATCTCCGCTGAATTCGGTAGCGGTCAAAATCAAACCGCGGTCAGAGCCCTCAAAATAGAAAACATCCTTGATGTCAAGATCATTAGTAGGAAAAAATGCGCCTCTCAAGAAATAAATGTTGCCTGGCTCGAGTTTGCGTTCGGCAGGTCCAAAACCTTTGGCGTCAATATCGTACGACAATCGCTTCGATCGGCCTGCGCCACTACACCAAATTGATGCACTAAAAGTTCTCCACTCTTTCCTCCAACCGTTGTTTTGGCTGGTCTATAAACAAAATTGATTGAAAGTCACTCAAATGTTATAAAACATTCATCGATTGAGACGTTTACCTGTTTTTCAATGTGGAAATTGCCAGATAGATAGAGGCCATGAGTTGTGGATTCAGTAGGATCGGCCATGACTCGACTGATCAATTGGATTTTAAATGGGCTAATCAAGTTCAAGAGTTCGGAATCTGTGCCAAGCTCGAGTTAGCAATCGGTCGGAAAGTAATGAATAGCTGAAGTTTACGGTATGCTATTGAAAAAAGTTAAGAACTCACCTGTTTGTGGGTTTGCCTTTGGCTTAGTGCAAGTACTTAAAGCAATGCAGTCGAAGATACGGTAAGAAAGGCAACAACTATGATAACAATGTTATAGAAAGTAATTCAAACAGTTAGATAGTTAAATGTCAGCTTGATCATAATGTGGATGATCAAGTTAAGGCTCACACTCACCGAAAGGAACAATTTATCGGAAGCCAAGACAAGAGTCCAAGTGAAAGAATGGTAACTACAATGTCGGTCAATGTAAGTAGCATGGAACAAATAATCAATCGATCAGAACACTTCAAAGAAACATGGCGGATGATTACTGAGCTGCTTCCGCTGTGCCCATAGAATGAGCAACAGAACCCATCGGAGACTACGGTTTTGTAACGTCCCACATTAAGAAACCAAATCCAGTTATCTCCAAGCAGGTTCTGAGCCCATCCTATTAGCAACCAGCAGACCAAGCAGATAAAAAAGGTATACTTACGTAAATGTATAGTGGACGAAATATCGGGAGTCTGATCAAACGCTATGGGTAGGATGGTCAAGCAATGAGTGGTAGGTATCTAAACCCAAAAAGGGAGAAAGATACAAGCAGCAATGCGATCGTCGCGATGAACTGATTTGAGTAACAACTCAGACACTCAATTTATCAAGAATCTAGTTTGCAAATCTACGAGAATAATCAACAAATCAACAAATCAACAAAAGGAGTCTCAAACAAATTTGTCTAATTAGCTCACCAGCTAAAACGGCCTCCAAGAATAATTAGAGGGATAGAGGAATCAATCAATTCAACGCAATGGGGAAGAAAAGTTATGATTCCCGCCAATTGACGGTATTTATACGTGAGGATCAAGTTGTGATGCGGGAATTGAGTGTATGGATTCTGTGTTTCAATCTGCCACTGTGATGTTTCAAGTCCCAGGATAAGCGATATGATGAGATAAACGCAAAGTTCTGGTCATGAACAGATAAAATCGGGGCGAAATTTGACCCACCCGATATGTTTTTGCCGACAGGATGCTGTGTAACCAAACCGACTTGATATATTGGAATCTGCAACTGATAACCTGTGTGTGTTCGGTAGTTGTGGGACCTGGCTCGTGTTACTATTGGAAGGTAGGATGTTTCCCTATTTGACAAAAAAGTACAATGTGCAATAGCAAATCTCCAAAGCTGAAACCTCAGTTAACCGGTTAAAAGTTACTTTACTCCGTAAGGTCAAATGAGATACTTACGTATATCTTTGTGGTCTGGTGTGGCACTTCGTTTGCACGCTAAACAAATGATACAATTGTTTGAACATTTAATCTCTAAATTGTGGATCATGATTCTCAATCACTTAGTTGTAATTTTCAAACGATTCCTCGAAATCTGCAGTCGGTTACGTGGGGGTCAGGATATACTATTAGGAGTTGGTAATTATGTATTTTGGTGAAATTTGCAGATAGCCGAGGTCGTTTGACAGTATATAGATATAGATTGAGATGATTTGATTCCAATACCATGTGGAAGTCATATGGCTTTGAACAAAATGCGAAAGATATCAGTTGGTTGGCATACTGTTTTAATTGTATGTTTTTAAGGAATGGGGCTACTTGCGAATGAGGTGAATACTTACCTGTAGTCAGTTCGTTTGAGCATGATGCTGTTCAGAGTATTTGCAGATGGTCCGAGTTGAGAGGTGAGGTAGATACTACGATGGCACGCAAAGCCGTTGATAATTGTAAAGAGAGAGACAGTGTGGGTATAGTACTGGGAAGAGCGTACGGGGCACCGCGGGACGGCTTTGTAAACGCACACATATGTAGAGTGGAAATATGTATAATGCGGGAGCAAAGGAAGAGCACAAAAAAGCGCGTAGGATTTATATGTCCTGCCCTAAACCTAACACTCTAACCCGTAGCGCGTAACCCCTAACAAATTAAGGTTGAATTATGCCCACGTACTGGCAATGTAGCATGCTCATCTGTCTCGTCCGTGAATTGTCAATTTTTGTAGTTAGCAACAGGAGCCTCCAGACGTTAGCCTTGTGTACTGTCTCTAGTGTTTACGACTGGTCCCGTAGATTTGTAATCTGAATTTATACATGTGATTGGCAAACTGATTGAGATAAGTACACGAAGACGGTAGGTAAAAAACGTTTCTACAAGGCTTTATGACTTCAGCAGAAAGTGGACCTCGACTTTGTCTAGTATAGATCTCAGCAATCGCACAATGTAATTTGGATGCAAATATAGGCGATGAGTAACAAAATAAATCAGTGACTGTTTGTATGACATCTATGCACTTGATTGCGTCTGCACGGTCTAAATTTTGGTTGGAAATAAAGAATCACTGAGTAAAAAAGGATGCCATTTACCAGAACGAAATTTATGGCCGAACTATGCGTTGGGTGAGATCACATAATGCACATGAGCAATACCACGCTTTTGAACCTCGAAAGTGACACAAACATTAAAGAAACCAATTGCGTGGCCAAAAGTTTGATGTGGTGCCACATGTGGTGATCCAACACAAAATTGTATAAAAGACAACAAATTCGTAACGTTCATTTCGGGGTTCAATGTGGGAATCAAACCAGAATACCGATCCATAAACTTGACCGGACAATCGTTGCCTGCTTAAGCAGGGGACAAAGTTGCTAGTCATGAGTTGGGTGAAAAAATATGATATATATTTTGACAGATGAATCAACGGACTGGATATTAAAGATGCAATTGATTCGCCACTGTGGCCTTTGTCATTAGCGTTGATGGAAGAACCAATGAGGCAGGTATCCCGCGAGTCAAAGTCGAAATCGTAGCTGCGGGAAAAAAATGGGGAATCGACCCAAATAATTAGTGGGTTGAAAAGCGGCAGTTTCATGTGTTGGTAACGAACTTCGTAGTGGTCAAGCTGTGATATGGCACAAATTGACGCCCAAAGTCGTGGGGAGCCCCAAGTTGACCGAAGCAAGCTGATGGAGTTGTTGGCAAGAATAAAGTGGTGTTCACATATAAATGCAGGATTGGTGGGTCGGTCTTGATGAAATCGATAATGTAAGACCGGTTCTGATTGTGGCTGCGTAAATAGTTTAAAAATGAAACACAGTGCGAATACAGAACGTGGGCGGTAATAGGTGGTCTGTGTTCAACCATTTTGTGACACAGCGGATAAATTGCTAGACTGGACGAATATTCGGATTTACTGTTCAAAGGAAAGCCTTTCTCAAGACAATTTTGATATAATGATGAATTGGTGGGGGATGTGTGAAATGCTGGGACTATATAGCGGGACCAGCAATGGCTCGCAAATAGTTCGATAGTCAGAAGCGGAAGAATCAGTTGCGGGAGTATAGGATCAATGGCTCACCGGAAAGCTCCACTCAATGTGTGGAGCATGTTGGGTGTTGTGAGCATGGCATATACGTCCGGAAAGTGTGAATACCGCAGCAAATCATGCTGCCGAATGGTGACGCGAGCCTCATATGCCCAGCCGGAAACGAGAGCCGAGTGGATGTCGGGAGATATATAAATGGATTCAAAAGCGGGTATGAGTTGTCGTGGTAGCGTGAGTACGATTCAGTAGTCGTGTTGATGGATCGCGCGTTGAGGTTTGCAGATGCTAAGGTAAGAAGGTTCGTGGAATATAAGGCAACAATCTAGATTTCATTGGTATAACGATACGAGATGCGTCAGTGGTCAGTCTCTGTTTGATGGGTACAGCAATGGATGATAGGTGAAGTGTGCGGTAAGGTTGTAGTTTCGGGAAATTTTCAGGGTGAGGGTGCAGTTTATAGGGGCAAATGTTGAGAGTGATTTGTTGGATATGAGGTTAAGGGACGGAAAATTTGGGGTAACTTGAGTCGAGGAAAAATGGTGGATTGATTTCAAATGTGGTTGAATAGGAGGGTTGTATGAGGATGTTAGGCTGAGGTTTTGGACTTATGTAAGATAGAGGGCTAAGTAGTTTTATCAGGTTTTGTTCAAATTGATAGTTCTCCGTTAATATGTATGATGATTTGACCAGATGAGCGAGGTCAAGAGATTAGTCAATGGTACCTGATCAAAGATATTAAATAGAACAAACGGGAATTGCCAGAACAGGCATCTTTGCCCGCTTGAGCATATGTTTTGACGGATCCCCCATGGGTTCATACAATCAGGGCAGGACCGCTCATCCCAGCTCATCCCAGCTCTTCCCAGCTCATCAGTGTTGATGAAGTTGGACGATGGCTCAGTGCTCCTGAGGTCAACGCCTGAGTCTGGCGGCTGGGAATGGGGCAAACTGGGCAGGCTCAGTGTACCAATTTGGCCTGGACAGAAAAATCACAGTTTTTTTGACACTTTTGCGCAAGATCGTTGGGCCCCCAACGTCGGGGGCCTTCTCCACGGGCACTGTGTAGGTGGGAATCATGCACGCCAAGCAAATAATTCACATGGTCAACATTTCTATGAGAGCGGAAATCATCATTCTAATCTAGAAAATCATGAACAAGGACAAAGTGGAAATGGAAACGTCAGTAGAGGAAGGGGAAGAGGAATTGGAAGAGGAGTTGGAAGTAGAGGAGGTAGTTCAAGACCAACAAATCACACAACTCCTACAATGTTGGTAAATGGGCACCTGTGGCACCTGTTCGAACTGACATGTAAGTCGACTGTACAGTGTACCTTTTGACCAGACTAGAAGCCGGAGCTTAGCCCCAGAGCAACGATGGGCTGGTTACGTTTTTTTCAACGTGTAACGCGTCGTCCCGTAACGGGGTTGCGCTATCGGTTGGGGCCGGATTTTTTAACGTACTTACGGGTACGTTAACAAGTTCTGTCACAATTTTTTTTTTCGGTACCTGTACGTTCACATTTCCGTGACAGGTAACATTGGTACGTTACACATGATTTCTAAGTCATTTTCCGTTATCGGAAATATTCTCTGGCTGATCCAACCAACAAGTCATCTCATCATCATGGACGATGATGATGATATCAATTCCCATGAGGCTGTGACCCACTGGTTGCATCATCAACTCACCAGAGCAACATACAACACCAACTCACGAGACGAACAAACAACCCTAATAATGAACCCCAAAAAACAGCCACAACAAACCAGACGATCGACCTACCCCAATGGATGGCCGATCGAGTTGGATTTTGTCACCTCCCGAACTAACGTGAGTGTTCTATTGTACCCTTATGTATGTCATTTTTGTCCTTATTTTTGTTCTCTTCCTCCTCACATCCATTCCTTTTTCGTTTTCTTTATATTCCACATACTTACCTTTATCATCATCTAATATCACTTTGATTCGACTTTAGCTATTCCAATCGGTTTCTCCTTCTGCTCGACTCAACCGCGTCAACATGTGTCCAGGTTCAGGGTACGAGACCGATGAATCCCATTCCCAGTGTCACAGTCAACCACGTCGAAGTTCTCTGATCACAACACCGGTCCGACTGGAACCTGGCATGATCCAACCTTGCCAGGACAGCCGCTGTGGTCTCTTCAATCCGTCTTCACAACCACCACCTTCTTCAATTGGCACCAAACAAGCCCGATCCACTTCTAGATCCAATTGCAAGATGGTTGGGGGGCACATTGTCCCAAACCAGGGTCAAAAGTCCAAGGAGAAGACGGTCTCCAGTCAGAATCGGACAGTTAAAAAACCCCAACCAAAACGATCTAACAACAGGGTGAGTTAATACTGATGATCTGTTTTATCATTATCAAATCATTCAAGTCTTTGTGTTCTTTCTCTCATATCATTTTAATTTTTTATTTCATACCAATCAGGTCCCTGCTTCGACCGCTTCGTCTGTTACCAATGCATCCGGAAAAACCCAAAAAACTCAGGTGAGGCCCACTCTTTGTTTTATTGGCCACATCAAAACACCAAGTTTTGATCTTATTACTCATCTTTTCTCTTTCTATGTATAAAACCTTTCTAGAACATTCCTTTGTCTTCTTCAGGCCGCCCAGGCCCTTCCATTGATAAGCGTCAAGACTCTGACGACGACAATGCTCAGATCCGTAAACGACGCAAAAAAACGCAAGACAACAATGACCCAAATGAGAAAGGGTTCAATGACATCTCTTTGTACTATGAAGAACCCACGCCTGGTGATGGTGATGTAAGATTTGAACGAGTCTCTTTTTTCGTTTTTTTGTTTTTCCTTCCTCATCTTCTCTTTTTCAACTTTCTGCTGATCGATATTGCTTTGACTTTAGGATCCCGATTTCCCTTTGGACTTCAAATGCCGTTGGTGTGGGAAAGTATGCCGAGGACATGGAACCACTCGATCAAACCTCAAGATTCACCGTGATGGTTCGAATCAAGCTGGAAGGTCCAAGAGTGGTTGCCCTTGTCGTAAGGAGGCCATTGCGCGTG